CAGGCTTCACCTGGAAGCAAGGAGCAGCTAAACCGTAGGATGACAGGAAAGCATTTCAAAGTGCGATCTAGATGGGCTAAGTGGAAATCCTGAGATAATTATTTCAAGCCTTGAAGCTGGAAGGGCTGTCTGCGAGTGAGCCAAACCCTCCTGCCAAGAACAGCATACAGGCTACCCAAAGAAGTGATCTAAGCACAGGGACACGTCAGCCCTCTCCACCTTACTCCCAATTCTGAAGGGCTAGTGCCCACGTTGCCCGGAAGAGCAGGTGGGCAGCAGCCTGCGTTGCTTTTGAGCCTGTAACACCACTGCAGCTTCTGTGCGCAGAGTGGCCCATGGCTCACGAGGTAAAATGCCAGCTGACTCTATCCCCCACAGGCCTGAGCGATGTGGCCCCATCACCTCTCCATCTCACTCTTCTCCACTCTCTCCTTCACTTTCTGCACTTCTGCCTCTGGGTCACCTTCTTTTTCCTTCCATATACCCTGCTGTTTCTCACTTGTAATGTCCTCTGCTTAAATGCTTGTCTGACACCTGCACATGCCTTGGTTAACACCTATTCATTGTAAATAAATACTCCTTCCCTGGGAAGTCTCCCGTTACCTCAGAGAAGGCAAGATCCCGTTTACGGGGTCTCAGGTAACCCAGTATTTTTTCTAGCACTTTTAATTGCAATTAAAAGATTAATTGCATAATTCTTTGCTTCCAGCTAGTAAGACTAGAAAGTTTTTATTTCCAACAAGAATGAAAGCTCGAATCCATTGAACACTACTGAGCTTAGGCTTGATTTGTCCCATTCCTTTCTTAGAAGGTGCCAGGAGCTTCCTTTTGGTTGTGGGTGGGCTTGTCAGCTCCTTCCTCATTAGAACAAATAAAAGATGAATAAAGTTTAAGAGACCTTTAATAAAACATTTAAAAGGAAAATTCCTCAACAAACATACTTATAAGCACAACATGGTAGAACCGAATGGCAGTACTGAGGACAAATTTGGGGACATTTTTCATATTCTCTTTCAGAGACCAACATCACTTCTCCACTTAATACCATTTTTAGGTTGGATGTTTTGGATGGGCAGAAAGTGACCATTTGCCTCCTTGAGATAGCTGTCCTATAGTTCCTTTTGCATTATGGTTGGACTGGTGAGGTAAAAGGGGATACGAAAAATGAGGTAGAATATGGAACTTCTGAATTCTATTAGTGGTTCTTTGCTACTTGAGAATTTCTTGAAATTGTCTCCTCTGTGAATTGGGAGATATGCCTCCTCAGCCTACTTATCAGTGATTTTTAGCTGTGATTTTATTCATCTTTGTTTAGGTAGACATGAGATGGGGCCAGGTTTGACAAAGGAAAAGGTTAGAAAAGACCAGGTAGAATCTTATCAAATTGAAATCTTACCGGTAATTTCTCACTGAGTCAAAACAAACTCGTTTTTATGTACACCTCTTATACAAATGGTAAAAATGGTTGGAAATGGTAACAATGGAAGATGTGGAGATATAGTTAGCAAGGCATGAATACAGTAGAAAGATCACACATGCCCAGGTCCTGTTTGACACTTGGGAACTTTGCTCTGGTTTTACAAGTCAAGTTCAACTGTTTAAGTCTCTGTGAAGCTCTTTCTTAAAATTTATTTTATAAAATTTTAAGATGAAATAAAGCCCCTGGAGAGTTTATTTTGCTTGTTTCTTCTTCTCCGGAAGTATCCAAGTCCTATTTCTAATTTGTATGTTTTGATCCTTGCCACTCGGTTTGCTCCTGCTAACTCTGCTGCTATAGTCCTGTGCGATGGAATGCAAATTGTAATCTACCCAATTTTTAGCACAGGTATCTCTTCCTCCTCCTCGATGGTAGCCACACTGGCTCACCAGATGTTCCATTTAAAATCATGAGTCAGGGCGACATGCTGCACGAGGAACAGGAGGATGCCAGGCCTGGCTCTTCCTCCGGGGTCCCCTGCTCTCTCTATCCCCACAGCTTCACATTTCTCCTCCTTATCCTTCCTGTCTCTTCCTCTGTGACAGTAGTTGACTATAGGCTAAGCTGTACAGGAGCTCATTTTGGATAGATGCTTATCTTATAGCATGAAAAGTAGGACTTCTTTTTGGGCCCCTTTTCTTCTTAAATTGTATTCAGTGTCTCACTGTTCTTTTTGCCTGAGCGGGATGAGAAGCATCTCCTACTCAATACCGAAGGCGTGGTTCTCTTGTGGCAAAGGAGATACTTCCTTGACACAGAGCCAATTCTGTTGCCCAAAGGCCAAGAAAACTGCTTAAGATAATGACTCTATTAACATTAGGCACTTTTCCTCTAATTTCAATGAGTTCAGTAGTTTTAAACTTTATCGACTATCAAAATTGCCTGGAGGGCTTTTAAAACCAGATTTATGGGCTGCATCTCTGAGTTTTTCATTAGTAGATCTGAAGCAGGGTCTTCACATTTCTAACAAGTTCCCAAATGATGCTTATGCCGCTGGTCCATGGGCCACACTTCGAGAACGATGAATTAGCTTCTTTCTGTACCTCAGTTGCATATGTTGGGGTGTTTTGCCTCAAGTCAGATGTTCCTATGAGTGTTCTGTTGAGAGTTGCTTATGGCTGATTAGAAACACCAGCTTTGAAAATGTTTCAGTCTAAAAATGATGGTGTCCCTGCTCTATTGTCAGAAACTATGGGGTCTCCATTGCCCATGTGCCCCATCTGGGGGGAAACATAGAACTATCTCTGGAGGAAATGCTAGCTCTGCTTGCAGACACTCTCTTGCTTCCCATGGTGAGTGTCAGTGCTCATCCGTGGGCAGAGCTGGCATGGCCTGGACTCCCAGATCCAGCCCTGAAACAATCCCAGGAGGATGGTGGCCTGGGAATTAGGGACACAGATTTTATCTTTCACTGTCTGCACCTTTGGCAGTTAACTCACTGAAATGTGTTTGCTTGTCTTTCTTCCGCACTGGACTCTAAGATATAGGCAGCTTTTATCTCCTGACACATAGTCAGTGCTTGTTATTCAGCACTATTTGAATGAATATGTGTGCATTCTTGCAAAGGAAAAGATAAAGAAAGCACTTCTGATTATTCTAAACTTCCTTGCTTCTCAAAAAGCACTTCAGTGATACGAAATGTATGGTCTCTCTACCTACCATATAAATGTTTCTTTAGTAATTAATATGCTAACAGCCCCAATTACTTAGAGGGCATTCTGACACTTGGATGCATCATGGGGATCTCATTAGAGTCATGAGTTAGACTCAAGGTTAATTACAGTACTTAATTGATACGCCATTCTATCTCCTAACCCCATACTCCAAGTAAATTCATTTTCCTTGTGGTTCAAAAATCCACTTTCCAGCTTTGTGTTTCAAACTAAATTTCTATGAAGGCTTCTTGAAAATATGGATGACATGTACAGCCTCTTTTGTTATAACACAGGTATGTAATATATGAATTTGTTTATATGAAAGTAGGTAAACTCGATAATAAAATCGCTAAACTATGAAATCACATTAGCTCAAAATCTGATTTTTTTCATGAGGTAAAGTAGAAGGTAATATATATTTCAGTTTTTTGGTTGTGGTAAAATTCACATAATCTGACATTTACCATTTTAAAGTATGAGATGATTCTATTTGGTGTCACTGAGTAATATCAGGTGAATGTGAAGATGCTGCCCAGCTGCCAGTAGTAGCCTGGGAGGAATACACAAAACCTCACACACCGCATCTGCTTTCTCAATTCTTTTTACCCTCGTGCAATGCAAATATATATCGTTCCCTGAGCTATATACTTTTCTTCATGAAAACATTTAACACAGCATCCTCAACATGAACGTGTGCCCTGGTTATAAGTATGCAGGGACTGAATGAAGGAGAAAAGCCTTAAAAAGCTCATGGTAAAGCCTGTGGAGAGAGGTGAGATAAATGGGGCATGGTGAGGAAAGGGACCCACGCTGAACTTCATCAGAGACCGTGATGAAGAGACAAAAGAAAAGAGAATAGAACTTGCAGGAGCCATCATTTGCTTTAAAGGGGATCAGAAGCACATGCCATGAGTCAAAGAAAAGGCGATAATGCTGACAGCAGCAAAACAGCACTTTCATGGCATTCCGCCTTATTTGGAACCACACAAGTAGCTTTTTTTTTGTTATGAAAAAAGGAATTTGGCAAAACAACAAAAGTTAAATTTCTATTTTAAGCTGGTGCCGAGGAATAACAAGACAATGAGTCACAGCCATCCACCTCTGTTGTCGTGACACTTCAATCTAAGAATGTTCTTCCTTCCTTCCATCCTGTCTCTGTAATGCAAAGCCACAGTGCTGCACTATATTGATATCCACCAGGAAACTTCATGTGTTTATTTTATAAAATCAAGGTAAAGTAGAATTATTGTAATTAAGAATTTAAGATGCTAAAAATGATGAAATTTTTGAGTTTATTCTTAATTTTTAAAAGTTTATTGTTTTATAAGATTGCAAAGTTTTGAATATTCTGCTCTGCACCTCTTTCTCCCATTAGTCTTGTTTTCACAGGGCTGAAATTCCATATGCAGTAATATTTTTAAGAACATGTGATATGAGAAACGATGGTATTTAGAGAACTTTCGATGTATGCTACTTAACAACTGTTGTTAACTTTGGAGAGAGCAAAGGAGAGACCGTTGACAGGCTCTAACTTCTTATCTGCTCTCTGGTCTTTTGTGCTTTCCATGTATAGTAAAATCCCAAGGAATCTGAGTAATAATATTTTTGGAGTTTTTGGTAATTTTAGATTGTGAGCTCATGAGCTCATATGTAGTTTGCATTTTTTTGTGAGAATCCTATGGAGATTGGGTTGAGGCACCAACCTGGCAGAGAGGATTCAAGTTTCTTTCTGTAGATTCCTAAACACTTCCAAACTGTGACCACTTCTCAGCTTGTAATATACAGAACCCCAAGTACTATATATTGAACTCTAAACCAGAGAGGTTATGGGTCTGAATTCTTAGGGATACAGACACAAATACAGACACCTCCCTGCCCGCCCTCACTCATCCTTTCACTCAAGGTCCGAGCATTAGGCAGGAGGCTCAATTCCAATTCCCAAACTTTTGTGGGCCTATGTAAGGCTATTAAACAAAATGTCTAGGTTATTAAGATCAGAAAATCTCTCCTAGGACTGCCATTGTTTTAGAGTCAGCTAACCATCACATTTCCAGGTCCTTCTTTATTTTGGCCCTAGAAATGTCTCCTATTTTCTTGTGAACTTGGCTAGGCATTTAAAACAACTTTTCTTATATTTTTTCGAGGGTTTTAAAAAAATTTTGTTTTGTTATGTATTCCACTGTATCACCAATGAAGAGTAACTGATTTTTAACAAATGTTTACCTCTTGCATGCTCAGAGGGGTTAGCTCAAATGAATGTATTTAGATGCCTAAATATCTGGAGCCTTTGATTTAAAACATTGCACATCCTAAGACTTCCAGGCTGATCTCTTGACACCAACTCCTCTGCTGCCTCCCTGATCTCTTAGGTTCTATGTAAAGAGGAGCCATCAGAACAGAACTGTGTATAGAAGAAATGCCAATTGAGATCTGAAAAGCCATGTAACAAGGGTTTTAATATCACAGATAGAAGGGGATGCTTGTTCTCACACTGTTATATTTTAGACTTTCATTCTGATTCCCAAGCCTTATAATAAATATCCTTCAAATTAAAATCAAGAAACCACGAAAAAATAGGTAACTTGATGTGGAAAATGTCCAGGAAATATGAGATGCTAGGTGATGGCAGATAAATGAATCATACTACTATGCAAACAGCATAATTATAATAGAAACCTCACAGCTGATTACAGTGCATTAAGGCTGGCCAAGAACTGCCTGAATCTAATAATTTTACACTGTAAAGTTTATCAAAGGCTAGTGCCAAGTTGTTGAACAAGAAAGTTTCAAAGAAATGAGCTCACCTTTAAAATTTTTTTGCCATTTAGAACTTAAATTTCAAGTAATTTTTGACCTCTCATCTCATTTCTTAAGACTGGGACTATTTAAAAGGCTAAATTCACCAATAACTAAAGTGAGAGTACTGGCAGGAATTTTAATATTAGTCGATAAGACCTAAGTGATTTACACGGTAATTTCAAAGAATAGCTATGCATATTCTCTATTAGATGATATGTCAGAGTCACTGTAAAACCGTATGTGAGACAATTAAAAAAAATCCATAAATTCGGATTCCCTGAGGCTTGGAGGAAGAGCATCTGGTCTGCCCGGGTTAAGGGCAAGGTGATGTCAGCCACTGGCAGTTCCTGTGGAATTCAAGTAAGGCACACAAGAAACAGGATGTGTTGATAATGTTCACAGTATGTGCAAGTTTGTTGGCACTGACACAGCCTTCGAGGAGGGCATGAAAGAGGCTGCATATCAGAACCCGAGAACCAGCTACTTTAGCATTGTCTAGGATTATGTTTTCTAAACAGTCTTTGGCAGAATACTAGTGTCCTTGCAGGTGTCAGTATGTCAGTGGATGATGGGAAAGAGGTAAAGAAGGGTTCCAGGGTCAAAATAAGTTTAGGGATTCACGATGCAAATTATTTTACTAAAGGCTCTGAGAAGTCTTGCAGTAAAAATTTAGTTGAATGGTGTCTTTTGAACTTATTATTTAAATACCCCTTGTTCTGAAGTACCTATTCACATCTTGTAGGTACTACTATTTTGTGGACAGAGTTTGTAAATGGTGTTCCTGATTACTTGTATCATATAATCCTCAGGTGTCTCTGATGTGTAACCAGGTTTGAGAACCAGAGGCCAGGGAATCTTGAAGTGGAGGAGTACACTCACTTATAGAAGGTAAGACTATAAGGGAGCACCCTAACAGGCAATATGATTCCAATTTTCTAATTTTTTATGTGAGGAAATTAAGATGAATAGATTTATCTTTATCTGATATAAGGTCTCTATGGGAATCTAGTTGCCTTTAATGACAGCTCACTCCTTTCCAGTTCGCCCAGCGGGCTGAGGATGTGGTGGGTGGACCATCAGGAAGCTGCAAGGCCAGTGCAACAGGGATGAGGGAAGCCAGGAGGGCAAGGTGAAGGTGAAACAGACTGGCCGTGTGGGGCGAGAGCTGCAGAGTTCCAGAGGTGAGGGCAGGCCATGGCAGAGTGCTATGTGTTCGTGAAAAATAATGTCGTAGGCCGCAGAGTTAAAAGTGTCCAGATGGGAATGGGCGGAGGCTGGAAAGGGCTCCAGAAAGCACAATGGGTCTAGCCTAGCTAAGGAGCTGCTTGTACTAGTCAGGTTTCTTTTAAATAAACTGTCAATAAGTCCCTTCGGTGATGTTAGGCTTTGTTGTCTGGCCCTGCAAAGTAAATGTTACGCTTAAAGGTGTGGAGAACATTATTTGCAGACTTTATTTTATTTCAATTTAAGGCATATTAAGTTCTAGATTAATTGTGGTCCTTTGCAATTTGTCTTTGGAGATGTCCAAGGGGCTTATTTGTTGAACTGTCCTTGAAATTCAATAATGTAAGTTAAACATGATCTTTTACATAAGTTCTTTAAACACTAACTGTGCATAAGAGACCTACAAGGCCATTACAAACAAAACAACAGAGAACAGACTTCTGTTTATATAGAGAGAAATTCCGAATACATGCACACGAACTGAATAAAAATATTTGCCATTATTTGAACAAAAATATGATGATTTGATTTGACCTGAATAGTGTGGTTTAACTAGTTGGATTACAGAGAATTGCAACTTTATAGCACAATTTTTTTCTTTTTAGTTGTGGTAAAAAACACATAACATAAAATTTAACATCTTAATCATTTTTAAGTACTATGTTCACATTGTTATGCAACCAATTTCTGGAACTTTTCATACAAAATATAGCAAGATCTTTTTACTCAGGGTTCCTGTATACCATTAACTTCCCAATAAAATGGGCATACTTCTACAATTTTATTTAAGAAACTATAAATGTAGATATAAATGTATTTTGTTATGTAATATTTGTAAGTTATAAAACATAATAATACAAACACCCATGAAATTACCAAGTAATATAGTTTGTTGGTTTGTGGGTTCTTTCTGTATCCATTCCCCATCCCCCAAGATGATTTAGCTTTTTAGTTCAACTTGGAAACATACAAACTGGGTGCTAGGCCCTATACTCCTATTTGAGATTAGTTTCTGAGACTGGTTTCTCCTTCCCCTGGAGGAGTTCATAGTATAGTGAGAGAAATATACTTATGAATGAATAAATACTTGTCATCGTGAGAAAATTCTCTAATAGATGTGTGAAAAAAGTACTATGGAAACCAAGTGATGTTGCAGCAAATTCTCCCCACGTGGGGAAAAGTGTGTGGGAAGCTATGGAGATGGAGAGATCAGTGAGCCAGACTTTGAAGAAAGAAGGATTGTTGACAGAATAGACAAAGAAGATGAAACTATTTCAGCAACTATTTCAGGATACAATGTGAGCAAAGAAATGGAGGTAAATAAGTACGTGATATGTTCAAGGATCCTCAAAGAAGAGAGTGTGCCTGGAGATGGCACTCCATCCAGTTAGCTGCTCAACAAATTTTGAGATTTATTGAGTAACAGTTTTGAGCCAGGCACAGTTATGCTCTGGGGAACTACAGCCCTGGCTTCCAACAGCTTGTGCCTACAGAGGAAGACTGACAAACAAGCAATTATAACAGCATGGTCAGTGTGATGAAGGAAGCAGGCACAGGGTGCCAAGAGAGTCCATGCATAGGGATGAGAGGGGAAAAGGCTGCAGAAGTAGGTGGTGGCCAGGTTGGCATAGGCGTACGTGTGTCATGTCAAGGATTTTAAAGTCCATTTTAGAGACACTGAATAGTAGAGGATTCTAGGCAGGGAAATGTGTAGGATTATGACCTGATTACTTTTTTTAAAATTAAAATTTTCTCTAGCGAAGATAAGAAAGACTAAAAGAGCAGTTAGAAATGCAGATTCCTAGACTAAGGCAATGACATTCATTCATTCATTAATTCCACAACAATTTATTAAGTAACTGTTGAGTGCCAGGTATTGGGCTTGTGCTGGGGCAGAGAGCGACAGATAAGACAGAGTGTGACAGAATAGACTACACCGCAGACAACTCTGAAGTGAGATAAGACAAGGAAGGACAGAAGGAGGCATCGACAACTGCTCTGTGTTCTCTAGTGTGAGCAGCTCAGAGAATGGTGACATACCCATTGATGAAGAGCAGTTTTGGGGATAATGTGATGAGTTTAGACTGGGACATATTAAGGGTGAGATGCCTACATTTGCGATGTCCACTGGGTCTGTATACTATGGGCCTGGTCCTCTGTAGGTAAGACCAGTGAGGGGTGGACATATAAGTAGCCATCAGCATATCCATTATAGTTGAAGTAATGGGATTTTGCAATATTGCCTGGGGTCAACATGCAGAGAAGGCTCAAGGCAAACCTGGAGAATGAGAGATAACAGAGGGAGAAGAGCTCGTGAAGGAGACAAAGAAAATCTGAACAGAGAAGTAAGACAAGAGTCTGCACAAGCTGGTAGAGGAGGAAGTTTACAGGAGAGAGAGGTCAGCAGTGCCTACAGATGAAAGAGCTAATATAGAATGAAAAACGAAGAGAGACTGCTGGCCAGGAATTTAGGCTTGCAAGAGATGGACTCGAGAAATCGTGCTGATGGAGGTTAGGGGGCAGTGGCTGAAATGAATGGGAGGAATTGTGGAGGGTCTGCTCTGTGAAGAAGTTTGCATATAAGAGGAAGGGAAGGATAAGAGAGTAGCTCAAAGGAGAAATAAGGTATGAGACATTTTAAAAGGTTGAAGGAGGCTGGTATACTTGAGTAGGCAGAGGAGAGAAAGACAGTGGAAAGGATGAAGATACCACAGGCAAAGATGACGTGAGAGCAAACAAAATAAAGAACACAGTGGAAAGAGAGAGAGAAGGGGCAAGGCTGCTTCTCAGGAGAAGGAATGCTGGAGGAGGACCTAAGTATATGTGTTGCTTGGAGTGGAAGCATTTCAAACAGGACAGCTTCTACTTTTTCACTGAGATAGTAGGGCAGGTTGTCTATTGAGAGCGAAAGGGTCGGAGGTAGAACAGGGATCTGCAGGGGAATGGTAAGAGTTTGGGAGAGAGACTGAGGCTCCATAAGGACGAGGTAACATTTGCTAAGCATGCCGCGGTACTCATAGACGTGCATGCTGGTGCCGTTCTCTTCTGAAGTGACCAGCACCTTGGGAGCAGGAGAGGAGACTATATACAATTAAATTGCTCGATCTAGGTGTAGGGATGGGCAACGTAAGTGAGGTGGGAATTAGGGAATTGAGGGTGTTCAGAAGAGGGTTCGATATATTAAGAGAACAGGCAGGCATTTATTCTATCCCCTAGATTCTTCATTTGGAGGAGCCGGTCTCCATTGGCCTTTGTGTACATGAAGCCGCCACCCTAGCTGGGCTGCAGGCTCACGTCAGGGCACTGCTTCTTGGCTGGGATGATGGTAGGCCCTGCATTTTCTAGAACAGTTTAGTGCTCTAATATCACTGATTCACTGTTGTTGTTTTTTCTCTATACATTCCAGCCATTCATACATTTACTCTTCTAATATATTTCAGCTCTTTTTTTTGTGATCTTCTCATTCAGATTTCCTAGGCCTCTTCTTTTTAAAGTTCTATTTAGGGATTTCAGGAATACTGAACCAAACTTATGAGTAGATGAAGTGGCCAAAGCATGACTTAGAGGGTTCTGGCAATGCCCCTTGTGGAACTGAGGCAGGGCTTTATTTGTTTGTTTGTTTAGGGTAAAAGATTGACTCCTCGAATTCTCTTTTTGAAAATGCAAATAAACCCAGGGTGCATAGTCCAATGCCTCTCTCTCTTTCAATGTGAGTGCTTTGTGTCAATGAATAAATGTAGGAATCTTAGAAACCAAAAGTTTACCTAATGACACTGAAGACCAAGGTGAGAAGCACTAAGAGGATTTGAACAAGGGTCTGGCCAATTCTCTCTTTCTCTCTCTCCATAAGTCATTAATAATAGATTATACCCTGCCACGAGGGCAATAAATTAACCCAGATTTCATCAATCAGGAAGATAAGAGCCCAGGTGGGAGTGGGGTCCTTTAGGGAAGGCAAAATGCAATGGTTAGCACCGGTCACTCTCATCCTTCAGATTTCTTTTTCCAGACAGGGCCAGCAGGAAGCAAGAGGATGCTGGGGCAGAGGGCAGGCCTAATAGTGCCCACTATGCCTAGTCTTGTCATGCTGGTCATTACATTTAAAAATGTTCTTTATGCTTAGTAAGTAGAGACCTGAGTACCTCCCCTTCTAACCTGGCCACCCTCCAGGACTTTGTGACCTCCCCCATCCCATATCTAGCAATTAAAGGGTTAATGTTTGGCACAATTGAGGTGGGGGGTCTTGCAACTGGGTTGCTAAATATTTTGAATATTGCTCCTGGAGAAAACTTTGCAGAAGGGGAAAGAAGGGGCACAGCAGAGATACATCTCATGTACCTCACATTTTGCAGGCCCTTTCTGCCTTCTGATTAGTTCCCATCATCGAGATGCAGCTTTGGTACCAGGTCATAGGACATTTCTCACACTTGGGACAGAGTGGGGAGAGTGACAGAGGAAGGTTTCAGGTCCATCATTTACAAGGACACTCTCTGCTAGTCCCAGAACTGTGGTGACTTGGGAGAAAGAAACTTCCTGGACCCTCTGAACCAGGATCCTGGTGGAGGAAGGCACTGTTTAGCCTCTTTCCTGCATACTCCCTCTACAAAATACATGGCTTTATTCTGTCTCCCTTAGAGCATCACCACTCATCAAGGAAACGAGTGATAAACTTGGTTTGGGGGCACACCGAGCATCAGAACTCTGGCCAGTTTTCAGAAATTAGGGTGAGGGCAGTTTTTATAGATATCATAAACAGGAAAATTAATCTCCAAGACCTTTCCTTGTAAAGAAATCCTTCAGCACTTAAAAAAGCAGACCACATTAAGACATTCTGGCTGCTTTCGAAAGCAACGTGATAAATAAATTAACCAGATAAATTCATTGAAAAATCTTTTGAATATTGCAAAATAACCTGGCCTCGGATGACGCTGCTTCCAATACCAAAATACATTAATTAAGGGACATTTCCCTGCAAATAAAAACCATAATGAAATATCACCTCGCACCTGTTAGTATGACTGTCAGCAAAAAGACAAGAGATAACAAATGCTGGTGAGGAGGTGGAGGAAAGGCAAGCCTTGTGCCCTGTTGGTGGGGATGTAAATTGGTTCAGACACTATGGAAAACAGTTTGGAGGTTCCTTATAACATTAAAAATAGAAATATCATATGTTCCATCAATTTCACTTCTGGTTATTTATCCAAAGGAAACAAAATCTCTATCCTAAAGAAATATCTGCACCCCCATGTTCACTGCAACATTATTTCAATGGCCAAGACGTGGAAACAACCTAAGTGCCCATCAACAGATGAGTGGATAAAAAAATGTGATAGATATATATACAGTGGTATATTATTCAATCATAAAAATGAAGGATATTCTTCCATTTGCAATAACATGGAAAATCCCTGAGGATATTATGTTAAGTGAAATAAGTCAGATAGAGAAAGAAAAATACGATTTGATCTCATTTACATGTGGAATCTAAAAAAAACCAAACTTAACAGAAACAGAGATCAGATTTGTGGTTGCCAGAAGTAGGGGTGGCGGAATTGGATAAAAGTAGTCAAAAGATACAAACTTCCAATTATAAAATAAACAAGTTCTGGGGATGTAATGTACAACATGATGACTAGTTAATAATACTGTATGGTTTGTTTGACAGTTGCAGACAGTAGATCTTAAAAATTTTCATCACAAGGAAAAAATTTGTAACCATGTGAGGTGATGGATAGGAGCTAAACTTATTGTGGTAATCGTAATCATTTTGCAATATATACATATATCACTATGTTGTACATTTTAACTTATATGATCTTATCTGTGAATTATATCTCAATAAACTAGAAAAAGAGACATTTCCCATTAATATAAACTGAATGCCCTACAGTACAGTAATATATTCCCATTATTGTAAAAAGTTTTAATATTATTAATAATAATACACAGCACTTACTATGTGCAAGGTGCTGTTTCTAAGCAATGTATACTTATAAACTTCTTTAATATTTACTATCTACCTATGAAGTTGGTGCTTATTGTCCTCATTACACATATGAGGAAATTGGGGCACAGAGAGGTTAAGTAACTTGCCCAAGATCACACAGTAAGCGGTGGAGCACTGCTTGGCTGTTCTATTGCTCCTAGTTGTCTTCACTCAGAGGTAACTTTTTTTTTTTTTTAAATAATCAGAGGGACTAGGTGAACAAGGGCGATGCCTACTACGACAGAAGCCCTGGTGTTCATTGCTGCCATCGCCACAACTATCACCACCACCCCAACCACCCCTTTCTTTAAGAGCCCACTGCAAGGTTTTTTCAAGTTCCAGACTTGAAAATAAAAATGTGCTTTCTTTTTCTTTTGAGTCACTATAGAAAGCACTCTGGCTGACATGGGTTTTTTTGATCCTCAACATAAAATGGCTATACGGCCTTAAGTATTTAAAACAACATTAACTCTTGGGGCTGCTGTGGTAAGAATCAGTTTAAAATCTTGGTGAAATCAGTCCAGTCTGGATTGCACTATTTGCCCGAGACTCACACCCGTTGTGGGTGCCTCCCTGCACACATATGTTCTTGTCTACTCTAAGTCGTCTCTTCCCCTCATCCAGAGGCTTCTGTTGGTGCAAGAGCGTCTTTCTTTCCAGAAGTCCCTGCCACACGGATCTTCACTCTGGCTGAGTTTCTCATCTCTTTTATTTACCACCTCTTTAAAATGTCATTCACAGCCCTTTCCCCCTCCATTTCAAATCTAGCACTCTATGAGTTCATGGTCTTTGTTCAACTCAGTTCTACACGCAAATGTGAGTCCCTCACACTGTATGCTGAGTGCTGGAGTACTCAGAGATAGCAGAGATAAAATGTGACAAGCTCTTGGCTAGACAGGCTCACTGTCTCTTTGGCCCTGTAAGACCCTCCCTGGAAGAACTAAGATATAAGGAAATGGAAGATGCCAAGCAGCAGAGCAGCACTCACTTCAAACTCGCCTGGGCTTTATAGTGCATGCTCTGACACTGTATAAAGGCAGGGCACTTGCTAGAACTAGACATATGAGAGTTCATGTGTTTGCCTTCACTTAGTTATTACTTAGTTTGAGCTTTTCCTAGTCTAGGGGCCGGGGAATTAAAATCGATAAAGATGCACTTATCATTTGGGCACGGCAGGTGATGATGGCTTATTCCAAACCCTAAGCTGTTCATGGAGACACTGGTCAGAGCTATGTGTTGGCTCCAGATGACGAGGAAAGAGAGGAGGCTGGCTTTTATTGATCTTGTAGCAGAAGTGCTTAGACCAGTGCTAGGCATACAGCAGCTGCTAGCTATAAATGCTAGCTAAAAGTAAAGAAATAAAGATGTGTGCCACTCTTAATTGTTAAAAATAAAGAGGACAGTCTCTCGGATGGGCTGATTATGATTAGCTGCCAAGACCAGGTGGTCTTGGAAGAGTATCAGCTAGGACAACTCAACAAGTGTGAGTGTGTGTGTGCACACACGTACCATATCTACACACGTGTAAATATTTATTAAATGTCAAATAACACTCATCATTTACAGTATTCTGTGGATCCTTCCTAAGTACTGGAACTAGAGCATCCACCTCAGCTGTCCTACCTAAAATGTGTTCCCATTGGCCACCTCACTTCTCTAAGCCATATGGACTCTTAATGACTTGTGAGTCCTTTGGACAATGTTAGTTTTTGCCAGTTTTGTATAAATTATATAAACAATGCAAGATTTGTCCTCAAACTTTACATGTTTTTCTGTCACCCTATCCTACTCATGGACCCGTTCACTTTGTGTCACCTTCTGCTTTGAGTGGCCCAAGGCTTGAGGTGAGGAGGAGGAGCAGCTTGGGACACTTACCACAGTGCAGCAGAGGGGCCAGAACCACCACAGGAGAGCCAGGGCCAGGAGCAGGAACAGGATCAGCAGGGCGATTGCCAGGATGGAGCCATCGGACTGTGGGGCCAAGAGAGAGGGCGGTCAGCCATGGGGCAGGCCATGCGTGCAACTAGCACGTGAGCCCAGGGTGGGGCAAGGCAACTCCTGTGGTCTCCCCCTCCCATAACCAATACACAGATCTAGGGCCCAGAGAAGAGCACAGTTTGCCAAGCAAATAGCTGAAACTCTGCCCATCATTCTGGGCAACTCACTCTATGTAGCCAATTCTCATGAGAAATAGATGTTTTTTTCTTTCAGTGAGGCCTGGATCTTCTCTTTGAGCAACATTCTAAAGAAGCAACCCTGCAAGAGACAGCGCAGGTGGCTGCCCATGTAACTGGGCATTGAGGTGGCCGATCACTGCTCATCTGCCTCTGGACTATCGCCCTCTGCCTAGTGACACCCTTCCACATCTTGGATCTGCCGCCAACTGGGCTGGACTCAGGACAGCTCTACTCAGGATTCAGCCTGCTGCCCAGAACTTGTTCACATAGATGCATGTAACCAATTCATGAGGCTGTGGATGGAAAGTCCAGAGCCACAAACAGAGACTCATGGACATGGACAATAGACTCGTGGTAACCGTAGAGTCGCGGGGAGAGGGAAGCGGGTAGTAGATGGGGTAAAAAGAGGTCAAATATGTGATGACAGAAAGAAATCTAACTATGGGAGGTAAACACACAGTGTAAATATATCTATGCCTTACTGTTAAAATGTACAGCTGAAACTTTTCGGATTTTGTTAACCAATGTCGCCATAAAAAATAAATTAATT